GGAAGTACCTTTTTATGTGGGGCTATATGAAAACGTAGACTTATATAGATGATATTCTGTCACGTGTGATTAAAACTCAAAATGCCGAATTTTAAAATATTCTGTTAGAAAATGTGGCTAAAATCGTAAAAATTCCGAATCTGGGGAGGTAAAATTATATCGGGGCTAGACGAAACCGTGAATTTGTATAGAAAATGTTCTGCTACAGGAGATAGACTCCTTTTTGAACTATAAATGCCAAAATTTTAACTAATCCGCCAGAAACTTATGCTAAACATATTAAAGTACCGAATATGGGAAGGTACAATTATAATGGGGCTATAGGAAAATATGGACCTATATAGGCAATGTTCTGCCACAGGTGTTAGAACGTATCATAAACTCTAGATGCCAAATTTTAAACTATTTCGTTAGATAGTGTGGCTAAAATCGTCAAAATTTCGAATATCAGGAGGTACTTTTATATGGAGGCTATATAAAAACTATATATGAAAAAAAAATCGATATGGCTTATCTTCGAACTTGACCTGACTGGAGACAACAATTATTAATTACCTTTTTACCACATGCCGTTTGGACAACAGACGGACGGACATGGCTAAATCGACTTTGCATTTTACGCTGATCAAGATTAAGAAAGAGATAAAAAACTGCAACAAAGTCAAACGCCATAATTTTTACATTTTATTGAATGAAAGCAAAAAATTTCGGATATAGCATCAAATTTTAGAATAAGTTTAGATTTGTTCGAATTGGTCACGTTTGGCATGAATTATGGCCTTCAAACGGCCAATGAAGCCGTCACACGCTGCCAGAATGTTGCTCTGCGGTATTTTGGCCCATTACCGGCGAACCGCTTGCTTTAGGTGATCGACACTTTGTTTTTTTTGGTTTCAACCTTGCTTTCCGAAATACTCCAGACACAATAGTCCAACGGATTGGTATTCGGAGATTTTGGTGGCCATTGTGCGCTGGAATTGAAGCGAGGAACCTCATTTTGTAACCATTCTGAGTGCGATGGTGCTGAGTTCTGTTGGAATATCCAAAATCCGCGGCCAAAATGTTTGCGTGCCCAAGGCTTTAATACACCCTCCAGAATATTTTCGCGATAATTCTGGTGGCCAACCAAAGGTGCACATTTACAGCTGACCTCTTTGGCAAGTAAACACGATCATTTTGTTTGTTTAAAAACGGCTGGACAGCGAATGTTTTCTCATCGGAGAAAACCAAATTCGGCAGTTCACCATTTTCGGAAAAGCGAAGCAACTCTTTATCTTTTTTGAGTCCATTTTCTTCCTGTTGCGGTGAAAGTTCTTGCACTTTTTGGAATTTCAATGGCTTCACATCGTGCTCATTTTTTCCATATTTGCCGAATGGAATATTGCGATACGTTCAGCACACGAGCCATTTTTCGGCCACTGCGACGCGGGTTTCGATCAAGTCGCTTCTTTACTTTTCGAACCATTTCTGCTGATGTTGCTGATTTTTTCGTCCACTTGACGTCGATCTACGCTGCAAGTATCACGATAACAAGACACAAAACATTTATTCACATTTAAATACTGGAGTGCTCTAACGATAGCCACTTGTGGTTTTCCAGCCAAATATAAAGAAATCACACTATCACGCTTGACTTCCTTCACGAATAACTTTTTTTCTGGAAAATTCTCACCAAAATGCTTTTATACGCTTGTGAACAATGTAATGAACTGTCACTGGAACAATTTTAACAGCTGTCGGATGAATTGCTTAGAAATGACAGCAGTCTAAAATTGGTTGCAATTTGTTCATCTCACCCTGCATACTTTGTTGTGTCTTAACTGATTACTTCGATGAGCTACAACTAGAATTCGGTATTTCAGCCCTATCCACTTCACTCAATACCAATTTAGTAACATTTAGTACGCTTCGTACACTTAAAGTACGCATTTTCAAAGCAATTTCCTTATATCAACCTCGGATATCAACAGTGACCTTAATATCAAATTTCAGCTCTGTAATTTCCTCCATTACCAACTTTGGTACAATGTACTACAATTATAGTTAGGCTTTCAAAAACCAGCTCCTACTCTCAACCACAGGCAACAACATTGTCATCCATATGAAATTCCAGGATTTCAGCTCTATTCCTTAATCCAATACCCAATTTAGTACTATTTAGTAGATTCCGTAGAATTATAATACACATTTCCAAAACCAACTCCGTATCTCAATTCCAGATACCAACGGAGAACTCAATTTCAAATGTAAGGAATCCAGCCCTATTCCTCTACCCAATACCATTTGGTACATTTTAGTACTTTTCGTAAAAAATAGAACACATATCCAAAACCACCTCCGTATCTCAATTCCAGATACCAACAGAGACTTCAATACCAAATTTAAGGATTCCAGCCCTATTAATTTAACTAATACCAAATTTAGTACCATTTAGTAGTTTTCGTACAAAATAGAACGCACTTCAAAACCACCACCAAATCTCCAACACAGGTACCATCAGTAATCGAAATATCAAATTTCAGCCATTCGGTAATTTCGTACAATTATAGTACACATTCCAAAGTACACCTGAACAGCGACCCTAATATTAAATTTCAGATTTCAAGCACAAGCTGTTCACCCAATGCCAAATTGTACCTAATTTAGTATCATGTAGTACATATAAGTACGAATTTCCTACACTCCTACAGCAACCTTAATTTTAAATTTCAGGATTCGAGTTCTATCGGTTCACTCAAATTTAAATTGTACCGAATTTAGTACAATTTAGTACACATAAGTACAAATATCCAAAACTACCTCCAAATCTCAATCCTTGACTCGGACATTAATCATATTTCCAAATTTCTGTATACCAGCTCTATTGGTTTACCAAAATCCAAATTATACCAAATTTAGTACCATTTAGTGCACATAAGTACGAATTTCCATAACTACCTACATCACACAATCCAATACAAATCTTATTTCAAAATTTCAGGATTCCAACGCTACCGTTTCATCCAAAATTTTAATTGTACCAAATTGAGTACCATTTAGTACACAAGTACGAATTTCCAAAACTACCTCCAAATTCCAATCCTTGACTCCGACAGTAATCTTATTTCCAAATTTCTGGATACCAGCTGTATTGGTTTACCAAAATCCCAATTTTAGCAAATTTAGTACCATTTAGTACACATAAGTACATATTTCCATAACTTCCTACATGATACAATCCAATACAAATCTTGTATTTAATTTAGTACCATTTAGTACACATACATAAGTACGAATTTCCAAAACTATCCACATTCCTCAGCACTAGAATGCAATAGTAATTTTATTTCTAAATTTTAGAATTAGTACCATTTAGTACTTTTCGTGCACATAAGTACAAATTTCGAAAACTTCCTCCATATACCAATCCTACACTCCGCCAGTAATGTTAAGTTCAAATTTCAGGATTCCAGCATCATCCGTTCCTCCAAATTCAAATTGTACTAAATTTAGCACCGTCTGGTACTTTTCGTATACACTTCCAAAACTACCTCCTTACATCGACTCTGCTCCCCAATCTTGATTCCGATCCCAAATTTCAAGTTTTAAGGTCTAGCCGTTCACATGATACGAAATGGTACCAAATCTGATAAATTTTAGTATTTTTCGTACACTTATGGGGAGAATTTCTAAAAACCCTTTAGTACATCTATACTTCACTCCATCAGTCCATCAGTGGCCCTCATTTTTAATTTAATTCAAATGCAAAGAGTAACATACTGAGTACCCTTTAATACTTTTCGTAACGTTCTAGGACGAATTTCCATAAAACCCAGCCTTATCTGACCCCTTGGCACCAAGAGTGACCCTCACCCAAAATTTGAAGATTGTACCTGCAGCCGTTTCGTCTGGGCGTTGATGAATCCTTAAGTCTTTCAGTCAGTCAGTTAATTACTTTACACTTTTCATACCCTCCACCATACATATTAAGGAGGGTATATTAAGTTCGTCATTCCGCTTGTAACTTATCATTTTAGACCCAACAAAGTATATATATATATATATATATATATATATATATATATATATATATATATATATATATATGTATATATATATATATATATATATATATATATATATATATATATATATATATATATATATATATATATATATATATATATATATATATATATCCGTCTGTTGTGATCACGCTAGAGTCAAAACGAATAAAGATAGGAAATTTAATTTTGCACCGATCTGTCTTTTGTCTGCAGGCAGGTCAAGTTCGAAGATGAACTTTATCGGTCCACGATATCCTATAGCCCCCATACAATGGTGCCCCCCCCTCATATTCGGTATTTTTATGACTTTACTCACATTTTTCAATGGAATAGTCAGAAAATCCACACAAGGAGTTCCATCGGAGTACTCTATCCCCTGGAAGAGAATTGTCTACATATATACGTTTTAGTATAGCACCCATTTAAAGCTTCCCCGAGATATTCCGTATTTTCAGGATTTTCGCGACATTATTCACCGAAATGGCGCCAAATTTCGTATTTGAAGTTCGTAATCGGGGCTGCAATCTATGTCGTAGTATTGTCTATGCAGGTCCACGTCTTAGTATAGCCCCCATACAATGGTACCACCCTCTGATGTTGATGATATTAACGACATTATTCACCGGAATTGTTTCGAATTTCGTATTTGAGGTTCGGAATCGTTACTATAGCCTATGACAAAAAATTACTTATTCTGAACAACGTCTTCATTTGAGCGGAATTTTTAGACGGAATTCAAAATTCAATTAAACAAAACAAACAGATGTACAAGCCATTCAGGTGGATATCTTTTCCCCCAACTTTCCCACGCTTATACTACCTTGCATTCATTCTCGCCGCAATCACTTCTCATGTTTACATTGTACGAGGTGTTACACACGTATAAAACTCTGGAACCGAGGTTAACAGTTTTCAACTCTGATTCATATCGATATTTTTTTCAATTTTTTTTTAATTACAATTTTGTACTGACCAAAGAGCCGTTTCATTCATCCGATACGTAAACATTTGGGATCAGTCGCTTTCGTACCAATGCCAAAAATTGTAGTATCCCGTTACATCGTTCTGGGGGTGTTCACTTTTATGACACTCACTGCTGGAAATGTTCGATTCACAAACCTAAAATGCGACTCGCTCGACCCGAAATTTTCAATAGTTGAAAAATGCAATTTGAAACTAATACGTCGCGGTGTTGTTGGCCTAAATATCACTGTTAAGTTGCTCCAGATACCCGTCACAAATGTTTCGGTAAGTTTTCAGTTCTAATTGAGATACTAGACGCACTAATTAATTGTTTTCTTTAGATAAGTTTGTCTTTCTTCAAAAAGTCGAATGGTTATCAGCCGTATTTCTACAATACCTCAGCAGATTTTTGTAATTTTTTAAAAAATCGCCAAAAATATCCGATTTTGCAAATTGTAGCCAATTATATGCTTCGCAATACCAACATAAATCATACGTGTCCATTTGATGTAAGTACCACTATTATGGAGATTATAGCTCTAAGAAATCGGGCAAATATGAATTTTTTTTTCTTAATTCGGAAAAGAACTCTGCACAAGTTTCTGGTGTCGAATTCACAATGAACTCGGACCAAAATTTAGTGAGATTGCCCTAGACTCTGAAAGTTTTTCTTCGGAAAATAATCGGAAAGAACATTAGAGTTTCTGACGAATTCGATTAGAGTTCACAAAAGGAAAAAAAGAAAATTCGAAACATTTTTGATTGTTTTATTGGAAATTCGCAAAATTTTCGGATGTTTGATCCGAAATTCGAAAAAATCTGAGTTTATCCTACAGTTTTATTCGAAAATTGGGGAAAAAGTCCATTAAACCATTCGAAAATCGGATAAATATAGGATGCTTGATACGAAATTCGGCAAAGGGTCGGATGTTTGATACGAAATTCTTAGAATTTTCTGATGTTTGATACAAGGCTCGGAAAAAATATGAATAATTTTTATAGTTTTATCCGAAAATGTTCGAAATTTGAAAAATTAAAAATGCAGAAGTTCCCAATTCTGATGTCGAATACGAAACAAAATTGTGTGGTATTGCCTAATGTGCTGAAAGTTTTTTTTCGGAAAACTAGAGAAGAACATTACAGTATCGCGATGAAATTCGCAAAAGAAAAATTCGGAACAGTTTCGTATGTTTGATAGGAAATTCGGAAAATTTCTGATGATTCGGAAAAAAAACTGAATTTGTTCTATAGTTTTATCCGAAAATCGGAAAAATTCGATTAAAACATTCAAAAATCGGAGAAATTCAGGGTGAGATAACAAAACTTCAATAAAGTCAAAAAGCCATCATTTTTAAATTTTTTTAAAAAAATTTATTGAACGGAAGCAAAAAATGTCGGAAATAGCATCAAATTTTAGAATATGTTTAGATTTGTTCGAATTGGTCACCTTGGCACGAATTATGGCCTTCAAACGGCCATTGAAACTGTCATACGCTGCCCGAATGTTGCTCTGCGGCATTTTGGCCAATTACCGGCGAAGCCCTTGCTTGGGGTGATCGATACTTTGGTATTTTTTAGTGCCAATCTTGCTTTCCAAAATACTCCAGACACAATAGTCCAACGGATTGGAATCTGGAGATTCTGGTGGCCATTGTGCGCTGGAAATGAAGCGAGGAATCTCATTTTGTAACCATTCTTAAGTGGCACGTGCTGAGTGCGATGGTGGAATGTCCAAGGTCTGCGGCCAAAGTGTTTGCATGTCCAAGGCTTTAGAACACAGCCTCCAGAATATTTTCGCGATAATATTCGGCAATTATTCTGATGCCACTGTCGATTAATATGAGCGGAGAGCGACCATCGGGTGTTTAGCGGCCCACACCATCACCATGGTCGGCGCTTGAGTTCTGGTGCACATTTTCAGCTGACCTCTTTGGCAAGTAAACTCGATCATTTTGTTTGTTTACAAACTGCTGGACAACGAATGTTTTCTCACCGGAGAAAACCAAATTCGGCAGTTCACCACTTTCGGCCAATCGAAGCAACTCTGGCTCTTTTGAGTTCATTTTTTCTTTTTGTTGCGGTGTAATTTCTTGCACTTTTTGGGATTTCAATGGCTTTACCTCGAGCTCATTTTTCAATATTTTCCGAATGGAATATTGCGATATGTTCAGCTCACGAGCCATTTTTCGGCCACTGTGACGCGGGTTTCGATCAAGTCGCTCCTTTACTTTTCAAACCATTTCTGCTGATGTTGCTGTTTTCTTCCACTTCCGTCCACTTCCTTGACGTCGGGCTACACTACTAGTATCACGGTAACGAGCGATGGTACGAGACACAAAAGATTTATTCGCATTTAAATGCTAGAGTGCTATAACGATAGCCACTTGTGGTTTTCCAGCCAAATATAAAGAAATCACACTATCACGCTTGAATTCCATCACGAATAACTTTTTTTCTGGAAAATTCTCACCAAAATGCTTTTGTACGCTTGTAAACAATATAATGAGCTGTCACTGGAATAATTTTAAAAGCTGTCGGACGAGTGGCTTAGAAATGACAGCAGTCTGAAGTTGGTTGAAATTTTTTCATCTCACCCTGTACACAATGGAATTGATAGTGAAAGATCATGTTTAGACTACTAAATCCACTCGATTTCAAATGTCAATTTCCATAGTAGAAGAATACAGGGAACATTGATATGTCAAAATTTTGAAAATGTTTTGCCAAAAATAAGTACATTTTTATATGTCTTCTTATCCGACGCCATCCGAAGGTTGTTATGAAATTTTATAATTTTTCATTCAACATATTCAGTTCCAAAATCGGCAGTTCATTGTCCCAGCCGCTGTTTCGATGCGACTCCCGTGCTCATTAATCCAGTGGATAGTATTTGACATATACGATACGGAATTGACAGTTACTTTGTATTTAAACAATTATCCGAAATTTAAGTTAAACTTCATTTAATTCTAAACAATTATTTTACGATGGACAGTATCACATGTTCGTAATTATTTTTAATTAAAATTTGAATTTATTTCTAGCATGATATCATCGCCGAAAATCTAGTGTTGGATAAAAATATTTTCAAACTTTTGCCTTTCGCTGTCGGAGATTATATGATGCGGCTAATGGTGAGCGCCTATAACGATTTGAAATGTGAAATTAAATATTATCTTAGCATCTACAATTGAAAGCAGAAGAACAATTAACAGAGAAATTATAAAGAATTGATGTACATCCAACTTTTACAAATACAATTTGCCAAATAAATGTTTGGAAAAGGTTGAAAAGTTGACAAATTTAAAGTTTTTTTTTATTAGTTCTATTTACTTTTTTATTAAATTTGATTATGTATTATTGCTATATTTTATAGAAATCGTTCCTAATCTAATTGATTGGATTGGGATGTATCAAACCTTAGCACTTTAACTGCGGCTTTTAGTACATTTATGCTATTGTCTTGTGTGTTTAGGTAGACGCGTCGACGCAGCTGCTGAGACAATCAACTGTCAAACCAATTTTGGAATTGAAAATGGTGAATGAAAAATTATTTACATTTGTAGAAATGTTTGAAAAACACGTATTATAATAACCTCCGAATGATGTCGTATAAGAAAACATATAAAAATCTACTTATGTCTACAATGTTTTCAAGGTTTATGTATTTACCTGTATTCTTCAAACCATGGATACAAAAATTATGTATAAAGAAGTAAAAATACCGGGTCAAACTTTTAATACTCTCCACCATTGAGAAGGAACTTTAAAATTTTCCAAAAAATTCCGTCGAAAAATACCGCTCAAAGGAAATAGGGGTTATACGAAGACGTGGTCCTGCATATACAATTTTTGTCTTAGGCGAACTTTAAATACGAAATTGGTGCCGTTATAGGTAGGCAATATGAAGACGTGGACCTACATAGATAATTTCCGCCATAGGTTGTAGAACCCATTATGAGCTTCAAATATGAAATGTGAAACAATTCCGGCGAATACTGTTCTTAAAATCATCAAAATACCGAATATCCGGAGGTATCGTTATATGGGGGCTTATACAAAGGTTCACGCAACCGCCTGTGAAACCGCTTTTCAATTAAATATAAATCAAGAACAGATAGTCGAAAAATCTCTTCTGTGTAGCGCAAAATTTGCACAGCGTTTTCCCTTCACAACAGAGTTAGATAAATCCTAAATTATGAAATTTTTGGCCTAAAAGGTACAAGTATAGACCAAGTAAAGTTCAATACAAAATCTTTATATTTCGAGAAAGTCATAATTAAATACGTCCACATCTGTCGGCCCCCTGTTGGAAAGGTCAATGGTGAATAAAGCAGCTATCAGACGATAAGAGTTTTACATATGTAGTGTCAAATGTTCCATTTGTAGAAGTTGCACACATTGTGTGATACATGGACGACATTTCAATTGTGAAATACATGAGCAAGTACATGCATACTCTTTCGATCATAGCGAGACCTATTTTCGTAGAAAAAACATAATTTCATCAAATGTGGTGTTTGTTCATTGTTTAAAAATATATAAAAATAAATTTGCGGTAAAAAGTCATCAATTATATATTATTTATTTTTTAGAAAATGCAATGTAACCATGGTAAAATTAAAAAGGTAGTCATTTCAAATAAGCATATCCATCTCTGCATTTTCTGCAATTTTTCTTGTCAAATTTCACTGAATAAAAAAACAGGTTCCCATCTCTGATTTCTGTGTATACAATGGATGTATAAACATAAATTTTTTCAATGAGATGTCGAATAAATAACTTTAAAAAAATATTGTAAACATATGATTGCATGACTCTACCTTATTAATTCTTCCATGAATGTAAACAAAGGAATTAGAAAAGAACATATGCAAGGGTGTGATAGCAAGAATTATGACTCACATCATAGTAGAAAAATACAGGTAAATAAAATTTGAAATAGTCCCGGTAAATAATGTCTCAAAAACCATCAAAATACCGAATATCGAGAGGTACCGTTATATGGGGGCTATACGAAAACGTGGACCTGCACAAACAATTTTCTGTTAGGATGTAGTATCAATTACGAACTTTAAATGCGAAATTTGAAACAATTCCGGTGAATAATGTCTCTAAAATCGTCAAAATACCGAATATCGGGAGGTACCGTTATAAGGGGGGACCTACATGGCCCATTCACAATACCAAAAGTCCTGCAGACATAAGATACATTTGAGTAAAATTTTATCAATCTACTTCAATTCGTTCGGAAGCTAGAGTGATTTCCACAGACGGATAGACAAGCGGACGGACATCGGTAAATCGACATAGAATTTAATTCTGATCAAGAATATATATACATGAGTATTTCGAGAAGTTACAAACGGAATGACAAAGTTAATCCACCATACTATGGAGGGTATAACAAGTAAAAAAGCTGTAAGTTCGGCGGGGCGGGGGGTACCCTCCACCATTTGGTACAAATTTGGCAATTTCCAAAAAAAAACCGTTAAAAATTCAGTTATAATCTTAAAAATACCGAATGCTTATACGACGACGTGGGCCTGCATAGGCAACTTTTGTCATAAATTATTACAATATTTAAATGCGAAACTTGAAGAAAAATCTGTTTATAATGTAGCTAAAATCGTCAAAATACCGAATATGGGGGGTACCGTTAAATGGGGGCTATACGAAGACGTGGACCTGCACAGACAATTTTCTGGCATGGGATGAAGTATCCATTACGAACTTCACATGCGAAATTTGAAACAATCCCTGTAAATAATGTCGCTAAAATCATTAAAATACCGAATATCGGGGGGTACCGTTATATGGGGGCTATATGAAGACGTGGACCTACATGGCTCATTTTTTGACTTTAGATGAAGCATCCATTACGAACTTCAAATACCAAATTTGAAACGATTCCGGTAAACAATGTCGCTAAAATCATCAAAATACCGAATATCGGGGGGTACCGTTATGTGAGGGCTATATGAAGACGTGAACCTGCACAGATAATTTTCTGTCTTAAGCTGTAGTATACATTACGAACTTCAAATACCAAAATTGAAATAATTCCGGTGAATAATGTCGCTAAAATCATCAAAATACCGAATATCGGGAGGTACCGTTATATGGGGGCTATATGATAACTTGGACCTACATGGCCCATTTACGAACTTAACCTGCCTACTGGGAAAATATACATGTATGCAAAATTTTAGCCTTCTATCTCAATTTGTTCGAAAGATAGCGTGATTACAACAGACAGACAGACAGACGGACAGACAGACAGACGGACATGGCTAAATCGTCTTAGAATTTTACGCTGATCAAGAATATATATACTTTGTTGGGTCTGACATGAATATTTCAAGGAGTTACAAACGGAATGACAAAATTAATATACCCTCCATAGTATGGTGGAGGGTATAAAAATATGATTTTTTTAGAGTGTGTAAAGCAGTATTATTGTCCTATGGTAAATCTGGTTGAATAAATCCGCATTAAGCTAATTGGAGTTAATCCCGATAATATATTGTATCGAAACAATATATGTAATACTATTTTCCCGCACATTTTCACAAAACCAATCCATTTATATTGACACTACGTGGCATGGGCCATACAAATTATTGGCATTAAAATTGTTTTGATTGCAAATTGATTTTTAATTACCTTTTTTGACATGGACAAATATTAAATGAATACTCTCAACGCAGACGTTTTTCTGGTATTTGCATATAACTGATCATTCACATTCGATCTAATGCCAAATATTTTCGAAACATCTTACATCATTCTATGGGTGTTCACTTTGACAACACTGACATTGGCAAATGTTCGATTCACAAATCTAAAATGTAACTCACTCGATCCGACATTTTCAATAGTTGAAAAATGTAATTTGAAGCTAATACGTCGTGGAACTGTTGGTCTAAATGTCACTGTTAAATTACTTAAAACGCCCGTTTCAAGTGTTTCGGTAAGTTATGCATTAATTTAAATACCCTTTTTCGTAATTTAATATTTCAATATTAATAGGTTAATGTTGCTTTCTTTAAGAAATCAAATGGCTATCAACCGTATCTGTACAATACTTCGGCCGATTTTTGTAATTTTTTAAAACAACGTCAGAAATATCCCATTTTGCAAGTTCTGGCCAATTATATGCTGCACAGAACCAATATAAATCACACGTGTCCATTTGATGTAAGTACTGTCGTATCATTAAGGTGACAACACATTAAACGGTTTTTTTGACTGGCAAGTCATCAGCTGGCTTCTTCGGAAAAGAACAAAGAAATCGAGCTAAGTCAACCTAAAACTCCTTTGTTTCTCTACGAAGAAGCCAGCCTTTGGCTTAAACCACTCAGAAAAGAGTTTTATGTATTCTCACCTTTAGTTTTTAGAATGTATAGTTCAAATAGTTCCCATAAAAAAATTGGATTTAGTTACGTAAACGAGAGATCCCTTTTCAAGTACCCATTGTGATGTGGGGTAGCATATTGTCAAAATCGTCTAACTTTGATTCTTGTTTCGATATTTGTGTTTTTGTTTTCACTTCGAGTTCACATCTCTGTTTATATACAAGTGTTTTTATTTATTTCCAGCATGACATCATTGCCGAAAATCTAGTATTGAATGAAAATATTTTCAAATTGCTGCCTTTGGGTAATGGCGAATATATGTTTCGCATAATGGTGGGTGCCTACAATGATTGGAAATGTGACATTAAATGCTATTTTAGTATTTTCTAATAAAATTTATCGGAAAGTGCTAATTGTCGCAATTGTCATTACACCTCCGATGTTTTTCACCACAGAAGTTCAACAAATTTATTTTATGAATGTTACCAAAATAAGCCGATCATAAAAATTTTCAAACTTGAACAAATTTAACATTGACAGAAGTTATTGGTGTTGTCTATATGTCTGTAATTAAAAAACGTTAGAATTGGAAGTTTCCTTTAGTTTTTAATATTTTGTTGTGATTTTGTTTGGTTCTCTTGAAAATATGAACTGTGGTAGAATAAAACGCTTTTATGACTGGCTTAAGTCATCGGCTCCTTTGTTCCTCAACGAAGAAGCCAGCCGATGACTTAAGCTGGGAATACATAAAGCGCTTATTTGACTGGCTTAAGTCATCGGCTGGCTTCTTCGTAGAGGAACAAAGGAGTTTTAGGTTGACTTAGTTCGAATTTGACCCTAGGCTCCTTTGTTCATTTCCGAAGAAGCTAGCCGATGACTTAAGCCAGCCAAATAAGCACTTTATGTATTCCCAGCTTTAAGGCAGTCAAAAAAGCGTTTTATGTATTTTCACCTTAAAACGCTTTTCCGATTGGCCTAAGTCATCGGCTGGCTTATTCGTAAATGAACAAATGAATTTTAGGTTTATTCAGTTCGATTTTGGCCCTGCACTCCTTTGTTCTTTTCTGCAGAAACCACTTGTCGGGAATGAACTCTATTGTCCATCTTTTTTAAAGGCAGTATAAAGACCTTGAGGAAAACTGTTTTAATCAAAGGATGGGATTGCTAGAAAAGCGTTGGACGAAATATATTAAAGTTTCAGGAGATTATATTGAAAAATTGATAGGCTAAGAAGTTTCCAGACCTCCCTCGTAAGAATTTGAGATGAGAGATTATGACACTATGATATTCCATTTCTTAAACGCAATATTGGGTTATTTTTATTTATATTGTGAAAATAGAGCACATATTTTTACAAATATGGAAACAACTTCCGATTTGTTTTTTGATAGATTCTCGCAGCAGCGCATGGTAGAAGAATACAGGTAGTCGCATCGACACAGCTGCTGGGACAATGAACTGTCCAACTGAAAATTTTGAATGAAAAATTATTCAAATCTATAAAAAAAAATTGAAAAATTCATATCATAACAACCTCCGATTGGTGTCGTAAGAGGAAAAATATAAAAATCTACATATTTTTGAAAAAAAAAAAAAACAGTTTTAAAATGTTTGATGTATTAAGCTGGGAATACATAAAGCGCTTAAGCTGGAAATACATAAAGAGCATATTTGGCTGTCTTAAGTCATCGGCTGGCTTCTTCGTAGATGAACAAAGGAGTTTTAGGTTGACTTAGTTCGATTTTGGCCCTAGGCTCCTTTGTTCATTTCCGAAGAAGCCAGCCGATGATTTAAGCCAGTCAAATATGCTCTTTATGTATTTCCAGCCTTATTTGGCTGGCTTAAGTCATCGGCTGGCTTCTTTGGAAATGAACAAAGGAGCCTAGGGCTCTGATTTTCGTCGTATAAAAAACATTTAAAAATCCACTTATTTTTTTATAAAAAAAATTTAAAATTTTTGACATATCAATGTTCCCAATCGTTGATGCATCTACCTATATTCTTCTGTCATGATTACAGCCATAAAAAAGCTTTCTACATGTTCACACCTTAATTGTTATTTATTTTTTAAAGAACAACGTTGCAAATGGGAAATTCTTTATTTGTTGATAATATTTTAAATAAAATATGATATCTTTGCGAGCTTTATTTTTTATGCTGGACATTGTTTTGAGAAATCAACTGATCGCCTGCAGGATATTCTTATTTGAAATGACTTTACCTTATAAATTTTATTGTTTTGTAAACAAACAAATTTAACTTATCTATGCTGTAAAGCAGCAAGTACATAAGAAGTTTGAAGTCATGGCTAGGCATATTTTGTGAAATTTCATAAAGGGAGTACAGAGCCTCACTAAAATCCTGCCGTCGTTATCCATTATAACTTGACATTAATATGCCTAGCCTTGACTTCAAGCTTTTTATGTACTTGCCCCTTAAGAATCTACTATTATTGCATTTTTTTCGATATCATAAAAAGAAAATAGGTTATCTTAGTAAACACTTTTAAATTCTTGCAGTTCCGGAACAGACCACTATTGTTTGCTAAAAAAAAACAAGTTATTAAAATGGTTACCAACAATAGATAATGAAAACGCAAAGGAAAATATAGAAAAATAATTTTATAGCGGATGATAAGCTATTTGGTTTATTTAGGTGTCAAATCCAGCTAAAAAAGTGTGCATCCGTGTAACACCATTGCCTATGCCCATATCAATTAAAGGTGCAGGAATAATAGTTAATTTTTGCAGACGTTTGCTCGGTTCCAGAAATTGCAAGAATGTACTAGTTTTGCAATTTTTTTCGATATCATAAAGAAAAATTCGGTTATCGTACTAAAATGTTTTATATTCTTGCAGTTCTGGAACAGAACAGTATCTTTGTGCATGGGAACGGTTCATGTTTTGTTTGTTTTTTTTTTTATTTATTTTATTTATTTTTTTTTTTTTTTGTAAAATGTAAGAATTAATAAACTGCTTCAAAATATTTCGGCTCTTAAGATTTTGCCTAAGTTGTTTTGGTGGATCAGTTGTTATCTTAAAAAATAATTCGCAAAATGCTCTTCGTTTACTTTTTGAAATTTTTTCTCTCTCTCGAGAGAGAGAGAAAGTCGTATTTTTCAAAACAATTTCTTAATGAATAAATGCCAGAGCAAATGGCGTAAAAAATCTTATTTCATAAACATCCATAACTAAATTTGTCATATAAATAAAAAGTAGAATAAATTGCAGTTGTAGCAATCATTTCTGAATGCTCAAAAAACGAATAAAAAGCTTTTTTCTGTTCAAGAACCTTGATGAATGTAAAAATTTTAGTACGATAACCAATTTTGGCATAGTGTTATAATGTAATTGCACATTTACATTTAACCGGATTTAGTAAACCCTGTGGATTTAAATCGACAATTCCATAGCGTACACAAATAAATCCTCACAAATGAGAGTAAACTGACAATAAGTTCTAAGGAGAATATTCTATAATTAAAATTTTATTTTAACTTTACATTTATCTAACATTGGCAACTCTTCTAAAAGAAAATAAAAAAGTAGTTTATTCGATTTCACCGGTAATCGATTTCCATTTCAACATTCCGATTTTTATGCCATCAAAACACGATAAATCGATTAGACAAAAGTCAACGTACGTATCCCTATCGCTTTCTTTCTTTCTTTGTTGAATCGTCAAACCGAATGTACGTAAAGATTTTTGTGTTAAAAAAAAATTGAAAAATTAGTAAAATAAATGAACTTTTCATAAATAATAAAAATAAAACATTAAAGTATTTCGTTAAATTTTCCATTTGCATTAACAATCGAAAGAAAATATGCAATGATGTTGGTGATATTTGTGGATTAAAGAGCTAACCTCTTATTTTGTCTACCCATTGCAGTATTCGGCTTGAGTTGGTAACAGCATGGTGAACGGACGTATCCCTTCGGTCTTCTCGAAGACCTATGTCACTCCTCGCCGTCCTTATGAAAAGGCCCGCTTGGATCAGGAATTGAAGATCATTGGTGAATATGGTCTCCGTAACAAGCGTGAGGTCTGGCGTGTCAAGTACGCTTTGGCTAAAATCCGTAAAGCCGCTCGTGAATTGTTGACTTTGGAAGAGAAGGATGAAAAGAGATTGTTCCAAGGTAAGAAAATGTTCGCTGCAGCCGATAGATACTTCTTGGAAATGATGATTTAGTAATTTATAATTTTTCTGACACTTCTTGTCTGAATAAAAATCATTGACGATATTAACACGCTGAAGATTTTTGGCTTAAAATCCCATGATTATCATTCTTAATAATTTGTTAACTAAACATGAATTTGTTTTTCTTCCAGGTAACGCTTTGTTGCGTCGTTTGGTTCGAATTGGTGTGTTGGATGAGTCCCGCATGAAGCTCGATTACGTTTTGGGTTTGAAAATCGAAGATTTCTTGGAACGTCGTCTCCAAACTCAAGTCTTTAAATTGGGATTGGCCAAATCCATTCATCACGCCCGTGTCTTGATCCGTCAACGTCACATTCGGTAAATATTCTCCTTTCTGATATGATGGACAGAAAAATTGTTTGCAGTTGTTAATGGACAGCTAAGACATTTCACTGGTCCCCATGTGTTAATTCGTTATGCACAAATGCAAAATGTGTTCAGTAAGACCACTTGGGAGTCGAACAATTTACCCTGAGTGTTTTGGAGGTATGGGGTATTTTGTACCGGCTCTCAACGTCTTTTGGTATTGGTTTTCCTTGGCCCCGCCATGCTATTGTGGGTGTACAGAAACCAATTGAGTTTAGGTCCAGCCTAAACACTCAGCCGAGTAAGTTGGGAAGAAAACTCAAAGAAAATACAACAAAACTGAACCATATATTGAAAAGAAGCTCTTAAAAGAACCTCCTTTTCTCAAAACAGTATTGCAAATTTACTAATATCGTTTTATTTTCCTTTCTACAGCGTCCGCAAACAGGTGGTCAACATTCCCTCATTTGTGGTCCGTTTGGATTCCCAAAAACACATTGACTTCTCCTTGAAGTCACCCTTCGGTGGCGGCCGCCCTGGTCGCGTGAAGAGGAAGAACATGAAGAAGAACCAAGGTGGTTCTGGTGGTGCCGAAGAAGAAGAAGATTAAACTGGAAATGTGTCGTCTTCATCTTTTTGCTTAAGGACCTAAACAAAGTTCATCTGTTTGCTTGGTTTTTTTACGTGATTAATTAGATAAGCAAATAAAGAACGTTTTAATTTGTAAATGTTTGGTTTTTATTAAATTTTTATGAAAAGGGAATTGATTTAGAATTAGGTTAGGTTGAAAAGAGGGGCGAGGCGATTCTCCACATGTACTGTTGGCATACACAATACCAGTATAGGCCTGTTGTGCTCTCTAGACTAAGGGTTTCTGAATTAAAGGACTTGGAATTAAATATACTATTTTGTGGGAATTGATTTTTTTTTTTACCAATATCTTACGAACAACAAAAGGCATATGCCTATGTCACTTTACCTTCTTCACCATCATATATCTGATATTTTTATAGGTTTTTCCGTAAGCTTTCAAATGATACTGCATAAATCTGTTCTGTAAAACCAGATTTTGTATTCGAACTTTCTGGTCAAGCAAACGGGTATTTCCCACGAAAAGGCTACCTTCTCGTAATCTGGGTGCAAATTCTAACATCGAAATATTTTGTAGAATTTTTCAAAATTATAATTATTCAAATACCAAATTTGAAAAGAATCCGGCGAATAACGTCGCTAAAATCATCATAATACCGAATGTCGAGAGTTACCGTTATATGGGCGTTATACGAAGACTCGGACCTGCACACGCAATTTTTTGTCTTAGGCTTTAGTATCCATTACGAACTATAAATACAAAATTTGAAATAATTCCAGTGAATAAATTCGCAAAAATCATCAAAATACCGAATATCTGGAGGCACCATTACATGGGGGCTATTGGAAGACGTGGACCTGCACAGACAATTTTCTGTCTTTGGCTGTAGTATCCATTACGAACTTCAAATACCGAATTTGAAACAATTCCGGTGAATAATGTCTCTAAAATGATCAAAATACCGAATATCGGGAGGTACCGTTATATGGGGGCTATACCAAAAGGTGGACCTACAAAGTCCTGCAGACATAACATAGATTTGAGTAAAATTTTATCAATCTACTTCATTTCGTTCGGAAGCTAGAGTGATTTCTACAGACGGACGGACATCGATAAATCGACATAGAATTTTATGCCGATGCCGATGGGGTCTAAAATGTATATTTCAAGGGGTTACAAACGGAATGACAAACTTAATATACCCTCCATACCATGGTAGAAGAAAACATTGATATGTCAAAATTTTTAAAATGTTTTATCAAAAATAAGTATATTTTTAAATGTTTTCTTATACGACGTAAATCTGTGGTTGTTATAATATGAATTTTTCAACAATTTTTACAAATTTCAATAATTTTTCATTCAACATTTTCAATTCCAAAATCGGTTTGACAGTTCATTGTCCTAGCAGCTGTGTCGATGCGACTACCTGTATTCTTCCACCATGCTCCATACTATGGTGGAGGATATAACAATTATTTTACAAAAAAAAGTAGGAAAGCACCCAAACATTGTACACTTGTAGGTAACATGATACAATAAGGAGGTAAAACAGATTCGTAAAATGTCACAAATACAGCCCTGAAACTATTCTGGCAGGAGAATTATTTAAAATGCGGTGCGGGAATTCTCCAGCAACTGCAGGAATTATCCAGCGACTTCTTTTAGTTTTATTCTCTTTTGCAAGAAAGGTGTGAAATGTAAGCGGACGGATTCCCTGCAAAAACTCTCAAACAATCAGCTGATTTGTCAAAACAAAACAATTTGTGCGCCATAAACAGAGATTAATGAGCCGATAAAACAATACAATTACGATTGCGATTCCCAAAATAAAGATGTTTTTAAATAGCTTGTTAAATATAAGTCACCGGAGGGAGAAGAGTGGCAAGTGATTGCAACAAGAAATTTGTCCTACAGAAATTTGCAAACTCTCAGTGACAGTTCTTGTCAAAACAGACGACTTCCAGTAACAATTTGCAACACACCTATTATGTGCAACAAGTTGTCCATTTTTCGATATTTTTCCTCATTTTTTTATTAATGAGTTAAATATGATCCAAACTGTTCAATTTCTTTCAATTTCATGACAAAATTGGCTAATCATGCACTGCCAAATTTTGACAAGCAAGTGTAAAAAGTACAGTAGACTGCTGTGGTGTGAGATAGTTTTATTACCCACTGTAAACTACATTGCAAATGCCCTTTTCATAATAATAATAATAATATGGCAACATTGTGTTTCATTTCAAACTCGTTCCATTTCGACTTATCAAAACAAACAATTGTCAAATCAACTAGGATTGCCAAGATTTTTAAATGAAAGTATTAGGAACAAATGTAGAGGGTTTCTGAAAATATAGATAACAATTTTAACAATTTATAGATAACAAATTTAATTTAATTAAATTAACGAAAAATAATAAATTTTCCGAGTTTTGACTTGTTAAGGTGAAGATCATATATATGATTTTTTTCGAGTTGTTTTTCTCTCAAGACGAAATTGGAAATTGAAAACGAAAGCCAGCGACACAATATCCACATTCACCATTAATCGGCTTTGCAGACATATTTTGTGTGGATGGTTTACAAGGGTCGTGCTTTGGGAAAATTTGATATGTTCCAAAACCTGCAAGAATCTATTAGTTCTTAACAATTTTTTTTCGATATCGTAAATAGAAAATTGGTTACCGTAACACTTTTTACACTCTCTTGCAGTTTTGGAACAGAGCAAGTATTCATTTCATATTTATTGCGAAATGATATGCGAATTAAAAATCCGACTTATTAAAGTTCTATTAGTTGATATATTTCACAGATAAGTTTTATTTTTGCAGCTATGAGCTTGTTTCTCACAACAAACTCTTGACGTTTTTTTTTTCTTCATCCCCCAAAAGACAATCAATTTATTTAAAATTACCATTTCAGACCTGGCAACTCTAAACAAAACCTTGAACTTCTCAGTTGCATTCTCTTTGGTTTCGGTTTGGTGGCTTCGACGCTGCATTTCTTTTTCGGCCTCAAAAAAAAAAAAGTAATTTGAAATAAAATTGGGGTTTCAACTAAATTATAGAAAATTCCAACCTGAAAATGGCAAAAGGATCAAAAATCAATGTAAAAGACAAAGTAGACGATAATGTTTGCGATTTGAGCTTGTGCGAACTGAAGGAAGTTCCGGTCAAAGAAATTGTAAGTGAAAATAAGGGGGCATAAATTGATGGAGTGGCAAATTCCCTTAAGGGGCCCGGAGGACACCAAGTGCCAGACGAGAGTGAAAGTCAATTATCAAAGTGGAAAATTGCCAGTGAAAGCAGATCAAATCATTTTCAGCAATATGTCAAACTTGCGAAACACACCCAAATTCCTCTGTATGCATATCACTGTGAAGGACAGTTAAATGCCTGGCGCTTGCCAAGGTGTTATTATGTATCCATTATTCCAATCCAAAAATGCAGTGTCTCTTCCAACTCATTTCAACCACTAATCTAACACTTTCGCTGTCTGTTTGTGGTTGTTTCGGCTGTGGGTCATCAACATCAGTGCTTATAAATAATGCCAGGGTTTGAGGTCCGGTTTGCTCTCGTTAGACATCGGCGAAAAGTGCACTTTCTCTCTCTTTCTCTCTGTTGTCATTGTTGACTTTTGTTTCCCTTTCGTTCCTTTCACAATTGTCGAATGGTTCGGTTTTTTATTTGATTCACGAATTGAAAAGACAATTCTGGGGTTTGTTTATTTACATTTTTTTTGCAGATGATGCTAATCGAGAGTGGCCGGTTAATTCTGCAGAGTAGTTTTTTTATACCATGAATAAACTCATATCTAAAACAAAAATGCAATTCGAAAAGAAATAAGAGGAAAATATCTCCTAAATTATTCAACGGAGCAGCTCTAGGTTTATCTTAAGTTTTAGTAAAAACTTTAATTTTTTTTAAATTTTTTGCTAGGGGGTCGGACCCGGGACCTCAGATTTTTAATACTTTTTGTTAGTAGCACCTCTTCGGCCCGGGCTTGTAATTTTCTCCTCTGGGTATGTCCCACACCAGCTAACGCGAACCAGAGTTTTCTAAATTTGACACTTTTTGTAAATCAAATGTATATTATGTCTGCAGGACTTTTAGTATCGAAATAGCCCCCATAGTATCTCTATATTTTCGGTATTTTGATGATTTTAACGACATTTTTCACCCCAATTGTTTCATATTTGATATTTAAAGTTCGTAATGGATATTACAGCCTATGACAGAAAATTATGTGTGCAGGTCCACGTCTTCGTATAGCCCTCATATAACGGTACCTCCCGATATTCGGTATTTTGATGATTTTAGCGACATTATTCACTGGAATTGTTTCAAATTTGGTATTTGAAGTTCGTAATGGATACTACAGCCTAAGACAGAAAATTGTCTGTGCAGGTCCACGTCTTCGTATAGCCCCCATTCAACGGCATCTCCCGATATTCGGTATTTTGATGATTTTAGCGAATTTATTCACCGGAATTCTTTCCAATTTGACATTTGAAGTTCGCTATGGATACTTCAGTTCACGTTTTGGTATAGCCCCCATATAATGGCATTTTGATGATTTTAGCTACATTATTCACTTTTTTCTGCATTTGAATATTGTAATGGCTTATGACAAAAGTTGCCTATGCATGTCCACGTCGTCGTATAGACAATATTTTTAACGGTTTTTGAAAATTGCCAAATTTGTTCCAAATGATGGAGGGTATTGAAAGTTCGGCCCGACCGAACCTACAGCTTTTTTACTTGTTGAAATTTTAGAATGTTTATGGGAACTATCTGGAATCTCGTATCTGCCAAATGTACTATATCTCTAATTCCTCCGGAGAAAGTTCCAAAGCCACTCCATCCAGTACTGGTGGCGAGATTGTTGAGAACATGCATTTCCTGATGAAGAATAACACCTGTTCTAAATATAATGGTTACAAAAACACTTAAATAAACATTTTAGATAAACGCACTCAGTAATTAATCTCCATTTTTTCCAGGCATCATTTAAACGTGTAAATGTCTTGGATTTGTCGAGCAATCTTTTAATGTCCCTAGGGGTAAGTACTTATTGCTATATGTGTCGTTTAAATCAAGTAAATACGGAAGTAATTCCGGCCGGGTGAACATTTTGTACCCACCAATATTTGACCACTTAAATTATGGTCAAATCTGTTGACCTTAGCTCCCTTATGTTATCGACTGCAAAGACTAAAAAAAATACTAAATTGTGGCGAGCAACATCTTGGTAATACACCTTATTTGTGATTTCTGGATTCGTAAACTAGAAGCCATTTCTCTACTTGGATTTTTCTTTTGCTCAGTTAATGTAAAAATTCTTATAATTGCAGAAAAATTTTATCATCCTCACTCGATTGGTTAAATTGGACTTGAGTAAAAATCAAATAAAATTTTTACCCGATGATTTTGGTCTGTTGCGGAATTTACGTCACTTGGATTTATATGACAATCAACTGGAACACTTACCTCTGAGTTTTGGCGATCTCACAAATTTGCGTTATTTAGATTTGAAAGGAAATCCATTGACACCGGCTTTGGCTAAAATTGTTGGCATAAATATGACAATGAAAGACTGTCAGGATTCGGCAAAAAGAACGGTAATACATATTTGGCTATTGGTCTCTGTATATATGAATATATGTTCTCATTCTTGATGGTTTTCTAGGTGAAATTTATGTCTGATATGCAAATTGAAGCCATCAAGGCTAAAGAACAATATCGGCTGGAAATTCTACAAAAACAAATGGCCAATGGCAAGGAAATGGATGAAGACAACACAACGTCGTCTAACAACGGCGAGCAACAATCAAAAACAAAAAAGAATAAAAAGACAAAATCAAAAAAGAAAAATGCTAATGGCTCGGAAGCATCAAATAAGAGTGGAGCTGCTACAACTTCTTTAATGGCATCTAATGACAATATTACCATAGCAAAGGCAAACAAATCGAAAAAGTCTGCAAATGGTGTTATAAAAGGTTCATCATCAAACTCTTCAAGTACTGCTTTGACATCCTTGATGATTTTCCTCCTGATGGTTGCTTTCAATGTTGTACTCATCTATATGATTATGTTTAAAAATCCTGAAATTGCCGAGAAGCTGGTTGAATCAATACCGCATCAATATCGTGATTGGATTTTAACAAAAACGGAAATATTTCGTCTGCGTGTTACCGATTGGATTACTCAATTTCGTACACCACCCGAAGAACACTGACGGTTTATCTATTTGAAGCCATAAGAGGTTTGGTTTATTTGTTCTCTATACAAATCTCTGGTAATTTTTAATCGATTAAAGTTTATCTGTGATAAACTAATCGATAAGAGATGGCTTCAAATAGAATATAATATAGTTCATTTTTGGCTCTAATATTTTCGAACACCCCCTTTTGTATAACATAGTAGACTAACCAAAGAAAATTTTGTAAACTTTCACAAAGTAAAAGTAATTTTTTATATAGAAATTTATAAAAGAAATCGTATTAAATTTTAAAAGAAACGAAGAGGAATATAAGAAAACATAACTGCCATTATTTGTAGCAAACATTTTTCACTTTGTAACTATATCATGTTAATTTTTTCTTTATTTTGTTTTTTGCATTGTACGTTAAACGTCCATTCTTAACTGCTTTTATTCCAATAATTAAACTAATAACATGAATTATCAACAAAAGTTAACATCAAAGTTATTTGACCTTACCATAAGCGAATGTAACAAAAGAAAACACCGAAACTATAAAAACAATTATTATTATTGATTTTCTATTTTCATTCCACACCAGCCAATCAGCATTTGAAAGCACCAGTTTATTGGAAGTTATTTTTAGAAATTAAATAAATCTGACGGCCATTTGGAAAATATGATCCTATCCATCTCACGGAATTAGTGTCATATTTAACCTAATAGGTTAGGATTACAATCTCAAACTTACTGGCCGCATGAATCCTTAGACATCTATGCGAGGTGTCGAGAGCGAACTTCATGCAAATTCTTACTCAAAACTGGCAATTTTTTAATTTTCTAATTTATGTTGTATTTACTAGTGTTTTCAGATGTTTCCTATAACAAAACATATTACATATTTATACATGTTTTTACACAGAATCACCACAAGCAATAACAATAGTTCCATACACCACAACTACTGCAAATCGTAATCAATCAGAAAACCACCATTTTATAAATGTTTAATAACTGCTTAAATATCTCATATACACATTGTGCATGTTAGCAATGGAAACGGTTGTACTTTAAGCATAACAGAATTCCAGAGCGCTAACTTGCACACAACTAATAACTACATACACTTTTTTGAAGCTATCTCAAGTACAATAGTTTTTAAAAAAAAATATACAAAAACAAATATATATGTAAAAAATAAAAACAAACAAGTCAAAGTTAAAAATTCTTTTATTTTGTAATATTTATAAATATTCTATGTTTTTTACAAATCATTGTCACATTTCCGAAAGTATTGATTTTAAAGATGATTTCTTTTGTTATTGGTTATGTTTACATTTTGTAACTTTTGTTGAAATAATAATAATAACAACATTTATGTAACAACAACATTCATTTTATCGATAAAAGATCTTACCTTAATACTTATGATCATTATATACGAAATACAAACATTTGATACCTTATAAGTAACACAATCACCGACCATTTTCTCTATAATAATATTTATAAGTTTCAAGTTTTACTTAATTAAAATATATATTAAACATGCAATTATATTTGTTTATAACTTATTAAATAATACAAGTTTATTGTCACCTTTTGGATACCATGGTTTTTGTCCGTTGTAGATATTAGTTTTTCTTTCGATTTTTTTGTCTTGCTTAAAGAACCTTAAAAGCATTTATTGAAGACAATTACAAATGATATGGTTAGCGAGAAAGGTAGAGATCGTGCATAAAACATAAATTATATTAAAACTGCATATATCAAAAGATATGGGTAAAATATGGAAATGTTTATTACCGGAAAGAAAATGAATGTTTTTATACTTAAAAAGGAATGTATTAGTGCAGTACTTGGATAATGTCCTTGATAAATGCGATTTGAATCTACATTGTAATTGTGTTCTACTCTCTCCATATACTTATTTATTTTAATATTTAATAAAAAAAATTACGTTCGAAATTAAACGAAATTGGCGTTTGTATTTTAAACGATTGTCACTGTTGTGGTGGAAAAACTACCAAATCACCTACTTGAATACTTCACCCAATTAAATGATTGGTTCCGTTGGTGGTGCAATGATTGAAGATAAAAAGAAAATAGTTTCCTGTAGAACCATATCCTGCCTTTGAACAATTTAAAAACATACTCGTAGTAGATAGATTATAGATTGCGGTCTTGGTGTATTGCAGATATGTCAACAACTAACTCGTTCCTTGAGTGACTTGATTTGTCCGTTAGAATTGCAATTTTTGAATTTTGAAAAAAGGAAGTTTTGCTAAATTGTACCAAAATTTTAAAAAAAAACAAGCAAAATAGTATCTGTCGGTTTTGCCGAAAGATGTATACCTCCAGCCTTTAGTTGTGATTATTCAAACTGTTGTTATGATTATTCACACTGTTTATGGGGGAGGTTCCGAAGTAGTTGGCCGATATTGACCAATTCGTATCTGACCTAAGACTGATATAAATATTACAACGAGCCAGATTTGGACTATATGGACTACTTCCTATACTTTATATGAAATATGTGAACATTTTTGGAAAATGTGGAAATATGCGTGAGGTAACAATTATACCGGACCAAAGCATTCCATTTTCATACTTCATGGAAATGGCACTTGTATATTCAATTTTATGCTAAATCATAAATTTCGATTAATTGCATATTCATATCAGATTCCTGGTTAAGATAAATATTTAGATATAGCAAGTTGTAATGAATCGCCGACTTGTTTGGCAAGTTCTGACAAAGATAAATATTGGAAATTGTGACCATTTGTGGGTAAGGTACCAGGAGGGGTTGGCAGATATATATCATTTTCACAACAGATATTTCGTTAGAAAAAATATTTGGATGTGTGAAATTTAAAGAGAGTTGGATGCTTTCTTCGCATTTTTGAGTATTTTGTTTTTCAAAATCTTAAACCCCATGTGAAAAAGGTTCCAGAAGAAACGGTCCGGTGTCTACCAACTTTATAACAGACTAGCTGGCCCGGTCCGCGTTGCCGGCCCGTAGTTTTTGTCTATTATGCATATATTCCCAAGAATAATTATTCACAGATATGACTGATATAAGTGTTCACGTACAGGTCGATTTAAAGTGTTTTAAAATACCTGTACCCATTTTTAACCAGTGGGCTTCAATATTTAAACCGTGGGCTTCAACTGTGTGGATGTGCTATACAAATCTATTAAAAAGTATATATCAATCTTATCGCCATATAAGGGATCAAATTAATTTTTAGTATGGTAAAAATCGTAGCAAAATCTTCCAGTCAAATGAGCAGTAATTTGGAATTTGCTGTATTTTGTATACTACATAATTGAGGGCTGAATGATTTAAGAATAGCCAAAGTTAATTACTTTTTTAAACCCATTAGCAACTTAGATTGTGCATTAGAGTCCTCATAAGTCCCCCTAACCATGTCAGTCTGTTTGTCCGCCAAAAGGTGGACTTGAGAGGGTATTATAACATGGATAAAAATTCTAAAATTTGTAGATATGTTGAAATTTTAGTGTAAGATTTTCACCCCCCTAATACACATTATTAGCCAAATTCTTTGAAATGTGGTTAAATTAGGAGGTACCTTCTTTATATGGGCACTACTCCGAAACATCGACCTACATTGAAAACTTTCTTCTACCCCTTATAATCCAAGATGACAAATAGAGGCCAAATCAAAAATATAGCAGAACAATATAGCATGTCATAGCATTTCGCGTGATTTAAATAAGTAAAAATAGTTTTATCCACCTCATAATTGAGGGCAGAATGATAAGATGGGAATTAATTTTATTTGCCATTTAAATTGTAAGTTGGAGACCCCTTAAATTCCATATTTTCATCATAGGATAATTCAATGATGATTAAACAAATATTCGGTCCCGTGCTACTTTCTTATATTTGTAATTTGTTCATGTTTCCACAATTTATTTCATATGGATGCACATCCCAAATCTACGTTCCCAACCAATATTCTCTTGGGGGTTAAAAATTCAATAGAATACAAAATTTTCTTTTCTGACCACACATTAGATGTGAAAGTGGACTTGGGGATACTCCAATGTGGGGACTTTACTTAAATAAATTCCTATGTGGCAATTATCTGTATGATGGTTCCCTACCCCAGGGTGGCATAAATAAAATTTTTTAGCCAAATCAATTGATGAATGTGGTCAATACCAATATATGCCCTACTCTGAAAATTTCAAATTTTATGCGAAGAGGTTATCTACCCCCTTAGAAACAAAAATGTCAAATAAGGGCCAAAAAATGAAAAAAGTGGCCGGCCAAGACCTCAAAAATAACTTAAATCATAGATGGTTATATAAATATGAAATCGGGTTGTTCCCTTATCCATGAGTTATGATCGATATAAAGACCTGCAAAAGTGATTTTAGGTATTTTGAATGTTTGGGAAGAATTTCTGGAAGGATATAAAACCTTTTCTTACTAAAAGTCCCATTCGCTCTACTATTTTGCACCTTTTATTTCAATATTGGTATATTACTTATTATTCTCCCAAAGAATTTTGCATTTTGAGCTCTCATTGGACGGATCATTGTCACGCTTTGAAATGAGCCCCATTAAGCTTTTTCGGTCATTTTTGTTTGTTTAAACGTGTTCGCATCTTCCAGCTAACCCACGATGTAGGCCCTGGAGTTGTTGTCAGTTAACATCTTATTTCGCACTTATTCAATTTTTTTACTGAAAAATTATTCTTTATTTTGTTCACAAAAAAAAATTGTCAAAAAAAAAGAATAACAAATTGAAAAAGTCTTCAACTTTTTCGCTGATTTTTTACAGCAAATGTTTTAAGATCCTTCCTTACAAAGTTTGTCAATAGAATGTACTATTACTTTAAAATTCGATTCCATTGAAAATGTTTTTTTGATTTTTGCAATGAGATCTCTTTTTCATGATTTTTCAGCGATTTAGAAAAAGTAATTATCTTTTAACTTTGGTGTGACCGCGTTAAATTATTTCGATATCATCTATTCCGTTTCGCCACCACATAATTCGCTACTACACTTCCATGTAACCCGCCATCAATTTCAGTTCTCAAGATATCAAGTCAATTAAATAAATTGGTATAAATATTCGAATTCAAAAATAAAATATAAAAAAACACTACAAATGTACATTAGAAAAAAGTAAGTCAAAATGGAAAAAAATCATGCAAAATAAAACATTACTATTGTACATTTGAAAAGTCAAAATGAAAATGTTAATATATCACATTTTTACGCGATTTTTTTGGATATTATCCTTTTCGGAGAGTAGACAACTCCGAATTTGTGTGAATCGTTGAAATTAATCCAGCGGTTCTTAAGTTATAAGCGTAGTAACTAACACAACTTACATTTATATATATAGATTTGTGTTTATGGAAATATTGAGATGTGCCAAGTCAGAATGGAATCGTATGTTAATTTCGTGTTTTATGAGCTTCATGAATATATCAAATTTTGACCCTTTGTGGGGGAACTTTTTATAAAAATATTGTGATGTATGAAGAGAACCGAATGTTTATTTCGGATTTTATGATCGTTTTGGTTATTCAAAACTTTGACCCTTTGTGTGGCAGGTACAAGAGAGAATGGTCCGATCTCTACCATCTTTATAACAAATTTTGTGTTTATGGAAATATTGAGAACTGCCAACTCTGAATGGAATTGGATGTTCATTTCGTGTTTTATGAGCTTCGTGAGTATTCAAGAATTTGACCCTTCGTAGGGGAGGTACCACAAGGAGTGGGCCGATATATTCCATCTTCACACCAGACCTTGGGTTAATAAAAATGTTGTGATTTGTGTAATTTGAAGACAATCGGACTATTACATCACATTTTATAAGAGTTATAGTAATTCAAAATGTTGACCCTTTGTGGGGGAGGTACTTGATGGAGTGGACCGATATTGTCCATTTTCACACCTAACCTGACACTGATGCAAGTATTAGGATTTGAAAAGTTGGAGCAAAATCTGTTTATACTTTCTCTTTCTGTGCAATAAATAATTTTCTTTGAAAAAGTTGACTTTTGTACCAGAAGGAGTGGACCGATATTGCCCATCTCCGAACTCGATTTAAGTTTGACAATAATATTACGATGCACCAAGTTTGGATCAAATCGGATACTCTCTTCGACAATTATCGTGCACACCAGCGGACGGACGGACATCGCTAGATTGATTCCAAATGTCCTGAAGGCCTAGGGTCTAAAACCGTTATTTCGATGAGGCACGTTTTGGACGTATGACGTATGGTATACAAATTGAGTAGCATTTCACACGTTAGCAAACTTTCCAATTGGACCGACTGTACCTGTAACAACCGTATTCTAGAAAAACGAAATAAAATCGCTGTGTTGACCATTAAGTGGCGTTGCCGGTATGCTGGCGTTTAGCGCGGCTATGGCTCGTCGGATTGGGGGTTGGTTCTTGCCACTTGCAGATCTTTTCGGTTGAACAAACAAAAAAAATCATACCGGACTTCAAACTAAATTAAAAAGGGGGTAAAAAGAAGCCTGAAACATGTTAACACAAAAATTAAAAAGAAGAAAACGTTCACCTAACTACAACCAAATCCCAAAATAACATTAGTTTTCTTCACAGAAACAGTGCTCCTGGCGGCTGACCAGCCAGGAGATAGCCCTCCCTCCGAGAACACCTCTCGCCATGACGTCTACTCATACTGGACGTCCCAGATGTGACCCTTGACTTACCATATTTTATCCCATCCCCACCACCTTTTTAATAGGGCTTTAAGCCGAAGACATTTTTATCTTTTCAGGTTTAATCCAGTACATATTTATTAAAACTATATTACATATTTGGCAAAAAAAAACAATTCATTCCATCGTAATTTGAATCAAAATCTAACAATTTACAGCGAATTATAATATAAAAAATTCAGAAAAAAACAAAGAATTGCCAATAAAAATCAATTTTCGAAAGTAATCTTTTCTTTTTGTACTTTTAGGGCTTAACGGCGGGCACCCAGAGTGTAGAACCTTGGCGGCAGCTTGTGACTAAGGCTTTTTCCCAAAACGTAAGTATGTACGAATTAGTTCGTGTTTCAGCTTTTTAATTATATTCCTCGGTCAGAATGTAAATAATAATTTTTTTTTTTTTTTTTTGCTTTCAATTCCAGCTGAGGACGAACAAAAGAATGTAGGTCGATACCACATTAAATCGACAATCTAACCAATGCCGGGTAACCTAACCTTGAATTGAGCTCAGTTCAATGTCGCGTACCTGCATACCAACACAAAGTAAGTAAAAAATTCAATATTAACTCGTTTGTTCACCCTTTTAATTTATTTATTCTTTTCAGGAAAAACCGCGGAATTTAATTATGTAGCTTAGTCGTCCGTCTGTCTGTCCGGAGTTAAATAAGTTGCAGTGTCAATTGGGAATGATACCAAGCCACGCTGGAGCAGCAATGGCGCAAAATCAGCGGCTCCCTCGATGGATTGGATGGGCGATGGTGTGGCTTGCAGGCTCCAATTCTTCAGGAATTTCTAGGTTTAAGATTTATTTTCTTGCTTTAGATTTTTAGTTAATTGTTTTGGTTTTTTTTTTCAATTTTGTTAAATTGTTTCCAAACTTTCTTAAATTTTAAAAAAAGTTCAATTTTATTTTTAATTTTCGATTTTTGTGAAAAACTATTTGTTTTGTTATAAGTTTTCTTTCAACTTTTAGCCTTTCGTTGTTAAATTTTGTTAAATTATTTTAAGGCTTCCAATTTTGTTAAAAAAGTTTGTATTTCGTGTTGTTTGTATATATGTCTCAAACAAATAAAAACATTGAATTCACTTCTCAACAAGTGGTTCACCACCAAAAACTTTGTCGTTTTTTTTTTTTTCTTCGCTGGTTACTGGGAGCCACACATCCAATCTTCTTCACAGGCAAAATCAAAAAGGAAAGATTTTTCTTACAATTTTTGCCAGGAAATTCTGGCTGCCATTTTCCTCGCTTAATTTTTCCATTTTCTTTTTACATTATTCCCTAATATTGACATTTAGGTAATTGGAATAATCAGCTGTTTTTTAGTAATTGTTCTTCTTCTTCTTCTTCTAGCTATCAATTATTTTCAGGGTTACCCCTTTTAAAGGCGCACACCACATACCTTATCAATTATCATCAAACAAAACAAAACACAAGCAAAACATGACTTGAGAGAAGAGCTCAAAGCTAAATAATTGAGAATATACAAATAGTATAGAGACAAACACCGGAAAGTAAACAAGTTAAAGCCTGAATGGAGAAAAAGAATTGGTTTAAATTCTACTTCATAATTATTGCTGTAATATCTGCACTTAGTTACGGTAGTGCCAGTAAATATCATAGCAAATATGAACCAAATTGGGCAAGTCTAGATAAACGACCTTTACCAAGCTGGTATGATGAAGCTAAAGTGGGAATATTTATACACTGGGGTGTGTACTCAGTACCAAGTATGGGTTCCGAGTGGTTTTGGACAGATTGGAAAAGTAAGTACAAGATGGATGGATAATAGATATTTTGAGAAAATGATAAACAATTTATTTACAGATTTGAAATATAAAAACTATATTGAGTTTATGGAGAAGAACTATAAACCCGGCTTTTCTTATCAGGAATTTGCAAATGAATTTAATGCTGAACTATTCAATGCCACACAATGGGCTCTCCTGTTCAAAGACAGTGGTGCCAAGTGAGTAAAAAAATGCATTGAAAGAGAAAAAATAGATTTTCTGTTTGATTTTACAGATATGTGGTGTTGACCAGTAAACATCATGACGGCTATTGCCTATGGCCATCTGTTCAATCGTTTGGTTGGAATTCAATGGATGTGGGACCGAAAAAGGATATAATAAGTAATATAGTTTTTATAATTCGTATTGTAAATCGTAATGAATTTTTATTATTTGTTACCTTAGGAGAACTCTCCTCAGCAATACGTCAACATACAGACATGAAATTTGGCCTTTATTATTCGCTGTTTGAGTGGTTCAATCGCATGTATATCAACGATAAGCTACACATATTTCTAACGCAGGACTATGTCAATCAAAAAGCCCGACCAGAGCAAATGTTTTTGGTTCAAGAATATCTACCGGAAATCATTTGGTCTGATGGCGATTGGGAAGCTCCAGCGAAATATTGGAAATCTGAAGAATTTATAGCTTGGTGAGTATTATCGGGTTAGTATGAACTTCTAGCGTAATATGAAGGGAAGGTTACTCAATTAATTATGGATATGAGTGATATATGTTTGTGATACACCAAATTTGACTAGTAGTGTGGTAAAACTAAAATGATTTATATTTCGGCAATTAACGAAACTTTTCGTTCATAATTTTGCGATCTAATTTTATCGGTATTTGTCGGTAACTAAAATGTTTTTAGAGAAGCACACATGACACCCTGCACCTATTTCGCTGCCAAGCCAAACCTACTTTACAAGCTCCAGCTCCAACCCGTACCGGTTGCGTCCTACCCGATTGAGATGAATCAGAACGAACGCAGAAGTTGGAGCTTCTACCACAACAACAATAGTGTTTTTTAAACCCTCCACCATAGTGTGGAGGGTATATTAAGTTTGTCATTCCGTTTGTAACACCTCGAAATATACATTTTAGACCCCACAAAGTATATATATTCTTGATACCATGGTACCTCCCAATCCTCGGTATTTTGGTGATTTAAACGACATTATTCATCGGAAATGTTTCAAATTTTGTATTTGAAGTTCGTAATGGATACTACAGCATATGACAGAAAATTGTCTGTGCAGGTCCACGTCTTCGTATAGCCCCCATTAAAAGACCCCTTCCAAAATTCGGTATTTTGATGATTTTAAGCAACATTATTCACCGGAATTGTTTGAAATTTGGTATTTGAAGTTCGTAATGGATACTACAGTCTATGACAGGGAACAACTCTAGTTTAGTAAAAACTCTTCGATTTTTTCGAAATCTTTTCCAGATGTAGGTATTTTTACCCTGATCCCGGGAAACTATTTTTTTCTTGGGGGACGGATCCGGGACCCCAGATTTTTGACCCGAAAGTCCGGGGTCAAGACCCCGCCTGGACCCGGATCCACTTACTCGATATAGACAATATGATTGAAAGCTTATGGAAATACCTATCCAACAAGTGGTCACATGAAGGGGAAAGTTGACATGGTTCGGAAGTTATAGTCAAAATATCGATTTTTTGGACCCGTATTTTTTATGAAACTCCCAAAAAGTCAAAAAAGGGCCCATTATGGAAGTCAACAAAATTGTTTCCAAATTATAGCTGACACTCTTACCTTTCCAAAATGCTACAATTTGTGCTAATACCTTTTTCGGGTCCAGAGATATGGGTCTTTCCATCTGCATAACCCGATTCTAACCAGTTCATTAAAATGATGTTTCAATAAAAAAAGGGTTTATTTCGCGTAGCAGTCGTCGGAATAACAAAAGTTTTCTAAATTTGGCACTTTTTGTAAATAGCCGGCCTTCGGCCGGGGCTTAAGATTTTTTCCTCTCGGTATGTCCGACACCGGCTAACGCGAACAAAAGGTTTCTAAATTCGACACTTTTTGTAAATAGCCGGCCTTCGGCCGGAGCTTGAGATTTTCTCCTCTGGATATGTCCCACACCGGCTAACGCGAACCAAAGTTTTCTAAATTGGATACCTTTTGTAAGTAGCCGGCCTTCGGCCGTGGCTTGAGATTTTCTCCTCTGGGTATGTTCTACACCGGCTAACGCGAACCAAAATTTTCTAAATTCGACACTTTTTGTAAATAGCAAAGTTTTCTAAATTGGATACCTTTTGTAAGTAGCCGGCCTTCGGCCGGGGCTTGAGATTTTCTCCTCTGGGTATGTCCTACACCGGTTAACGCGAACCAAACTTTTCTAAATTTGACACATTTTGAAAGTAGCCGGCCTTCGGCCGGGACTTGGGTCCGTCCCCCAAGAAAAAAATAGTTTCCCGGGATCAGGGTAAAAATACCTACCACTGGAAAAAAAATTGAGTTTTTACAAAACTAGAGTTAAGCCATTTTAGCTACCTTATTCACTGAATTTTTTTTAAGTTTCGCAATTGAATATTGTTATGGCTTATTACTAAAGTTGCCTATGCAGGTCCACGTCGTCGTATAAACCATAATATAACGGCAACATTCGGTATTTTTAAGATTTTAACAGAATTTTTAACGAATTTTATTTTGTTATTGTCTTCTGGGACCTATAACAGAATTTAAAGACAAATAATATTTTAAGTTGCTACGACCATGTTTAAAGGAATTTTTATTCAAAACAATTTTTTTTGAAAAATGACCAAAAATACACCTTTGGCGACTTGCTTGAGTGTTAATCGTCTTAGCCAAAATAATCCTCGTATTTTTATCTCTAATATTTCTAAAGACATCATGTACCGAAAATTTAAGCACTCAAAGAAATCTTCTTCCGAAAATTAAAAAAAAAAAATTTAGAAGAGTAGGGAACTTGCTGCTCTCTTTAGGTTACTTTCAAAATGCCGATACATTAAAAAAATAATGATAATCAGGGCTGTCATAGAATCCAATTTTGTCACTATTGGTTTTAAAAATGACAAGAAAAAATGCTTTGGTGTCATGAAAATCAATGTTATCGGTTTTATTTTCGAATTAGAATTTTGTCGGTTTTGGTTGTCATAGAAGCCAATGTTATTGGAAATAAACCAAGTTGCTTAGAGCTGTCACTTTTCATTTGCGTTGGATTTTTTAAACAATTTTTAATGGATATAAAGGACTAAAAATGTGGATATTTTAAACAATTTTTAAAGGATATTCAAAGGACTAAAAACGTGGACTATAGACGTGGATTTTTTAAAGAATTTTTAAAGAATATTCAAAGGACTATAAACGTGGATTTTTTAAAGAATTTTTAAAGAATATTCAAAGGACTATAAACGTGGATTTTTTAAAGAATTTTTAAAGGACCATAAACGTGGATTTCTTAAAGAATTTTTAAAGGACCATAAACGTGGATTTCTTAAAGAATTTTTAAAAGACCATAAACGTGGATTTTTTAAAGAATTTTTAAACGACTATAAACGTGGATTTTTTAATGAATTTTTAAAGGACCATAAACGTGGATTTTTTAAAGAATTTTTAAACGACCATAAACGTGGATTTCTTAATGAATTTTTAAACGACCATAAACGTGGATTTCTTAATGAATTTTTAAACGGCCATAAACGTGGATTTCTTAAAGAATTTTTAAAAGACCATAAACGTGGATTTTTTAAAGAATTTTTAAACGACTATAAACGTGGATTTTTTAATGAATTTTTAAAGGACCATAAACGTGGATTTTTTAAAGAATTTTTAAACGACCATAAACGTGGATTTCTTAATGAATTTTTAAAGGACCATAAACGTGGATTTCTTAATGAATTTTTAAAGGACCATAAACGTGGGTTTTTTTAAAGAATTTTTAAACGACTATAAACGTGGATTTCGTAAAGGATTTTTAAAGATATTTAAAGGACCATAAACGTGGATTTCGTAAAGGATTTTTAAAGATATTTAAAGGACCATAAACGTGGATTTTTTAAGGATTTTTTAAAGATATTTAAAGGACCATAAACGTGGATTTTTTAAAGATATTTAAAGGACCATAAACGTGGATTTTTTAAGGATTTTTAAAGATATTTAAAGGACCATAAACGTGGATTTTTTAAAGATATTTAAAGGACCATAAACGTGGATTTTTTAAGGATTTTTTAAAGATATTTAAAGGACCATAAACGTGGATTTTTTAAAGATATTTAAAGGACCATAAACGTGGATTTTTTAAGGATTTTTTAAAGATATTTAAAGGACCATAAACGTGGATTTTTTAAGGATTTTTTAAAGATATTTAAAGGACCATAAACGTGGATTTTTTAAGGATTTTTTAAAGATATTTAAAGGACCATAAACGTGGATTTTTTAAGGATTTTTTAAAGATATTTAAAGGACCATAAACGTGGATTTTTTAAGGATTTTTTAAAGATATTTAAAGGACCATAAACGTGGATTTTTTAAGGATTTTTTAAAGATATTTAAAGGACCATAAACGTGGATTTTTTAAAGATATTTAAAGGACCATAAACGTGGATTTT